AAACACTTCCATCAAACTGGTTAACATAGCCTTCGCGTCATTTTCTTAGTTATTATTTTAAAACGTTCACATTCTGCTCTTAGAAAGATTCACTTGTACCCTTGTAAGATAAACCTCAGAAGTGATCCCTCCAATCCCCCTCCCTCCATCCATTTCCCCCTCCCCTCTCCCTCCCCCCTCCCCGTATTCTTAGGCTGTTATTAGGTTATAGCTTACATATAAAAGGTATAGATTAGTTTCATAATAGGGGTGTGTACATTGGATACTTTTTCTTCCATTTCTCCAAGGTATATTAATGGATTTGACATGTAGCAATCAAATGGAAAAAGGAAAGGAATAAATATTTCTGAAATAATCAGGTGGGGGAAAGAATCTGAGACAAAATGTGACTAGTTGCATTGATTAAACAAAGGCAACTGAAATCCAAGGGACCCCTCTGTTAGACCCTATCTCGTCTCGGAGCCTGCAGTGGTGAACCTGTGTGGTCTACCCCTGAACAGTTTTCATCCTTTTAGGCAATCAAGACAGGTTTACTGATGTTGATGGTTTAGCCTACAAAGACACGTAGGAAATAGCATTTGAAGGCCACTGCCCAAGAAAAAGAGCCAGGCACCTGTTTTTATTTTTGTTGTTTGTTTCTTCTTTTTCTTTCTTTCTTTCTTTCTTTTTTTTTTTTTAGAGATAGGGTCTCACTCCTGGCTCTGTTGCCCAGGCTAGAGTACCACAGCCCTGATCATATCTCACTGCAGCCTTGAACTCCTGGGCTCCAGCAAATCTGGTTTTTATGAGTTTGCCCTCTGGCATATGCCTAACATTTTAATTTGTAAAGAAAAAAAAGCAGCAAAAATTTGGTTTCTGGGCCTCTTCCTCTTATACTCCCATTTGAAGAGTATCAACAAGCCATTTTAAGAAAACAGCAAAATTGGTTGTGATAGATCTACCAGTTAATGTCCCAGATGGCTACATTACCTGATGCTTGGAAGGTGGTCTATGATGTTCTTTACAAATGTTATCAGGCTTCTACACCCCACTCTCCCTGCACTGAAACTCAAAGATAGCTTCCTGCTTGTTGTTGGCAAGGGGCTGTGGGGAAGACTCAGAGATCGCCAGGTACTCAGGAGGCATACCTGATGGTGACAGAGGAGCACTGGGCCAACCTCCTGCCTGCACTCTTCAGGCCGGTGTAGATCTGTCCCATCTCCATGGCTCCCTCCAGCCCCACCACTTCGAGAAGCTGGTCACTGAGGTCTGCAGAGTAAGACAACACATACACATCTCTCTGTTTCCAAGGTAGGTTCTGGCCAGAAAGTCTGGTCCCCAGATGGCCAGCCTAGATCCGTTGGTATCTTTTTATCTCCCAGCAAACAGCGTTTTCATACACACTCTGAACAGGGCATTTCCCCAAAGGTCAATAAATGTATCTTTTCATGAATAGAAGCCCAGTTCTAGTGGAAAAGGTTTTAATTCAGAATATTAACAGGCATTCCATAAATAGGCTGCCACATCAAGAAACCTCTTCAAATGTAGAGTAACACAAATAATGAACCAGCTATTTCTGAAATAATTTTTGATCCCCCAGTGCAGCTAAAGATATATCAGTTTGGGACTAAGATAGGAAGAAATGTTGATAAAGGCCTATCTATAGCTGGATCAAGTCTCTCTTCTCTGAATGTCTCAGTAACATCTTGGCTCCACTGGTGATGATGGATGGTTAATTAACCTCAGATTTGGCCTGTGGTGAGCCACCAGTGAGCCAGCCTCCTTGGATACCCTCGAGAAAGTCAGTGACTTCGTTCATGACACCAGGTGCTTAATGTAAGCCAAGGAAAAGAACATTTCACCTACAGCAGATTACCATGGCCCATGGTAGAAAAGGAGGGGACGAAAATAAGAGGCTCGGGTTCAGAGTCACTCAGGATTGATGGCCTCCCACAGTGGCAGGTGCGTTTGATTCAGAATCTAGACATTTTTTCCAAGTTCCTAAGGCTTGGATTATGCCTCCCCAATTTCCTGCAAAAGCAACGGCAGGATTAATGTTTGGTGTTGGCCCTAAGACTCACTGTTACAACAATTTTTATTTGTTTGAAACAGAAGCAAAATAAAAAGGTAGATTTTAAAAAAAAACTTCCATTACTTTGCCGTTTCAAAAAACTTCCATTAATTTGTCTTACCAAGGCAAAAGTACCTGTCTCAGAAGTTGTGGCTAATCACCGCCATCCTGTTAATATTTACAAACTTGAAAAGGAGGCTCGAGCCTCCCAAGTAGCCATGTCTGTTTTAATGGTTTTGTTTATTTAACAGATGGCTTCTGTCTACTAACGTGCTTCCTGGTGTGTAGTATAACAGTGTTTATTAAGATTGGCAAGGAGATATTTGGGCTTGCCTTTACTTTTTTGTTTGGAAGGCTATTGTTTGAGAAACATTCTCTTGATGGATGTATTTCTAATGAAGACAGTTAAACAAACCATTGGGCTGACCACAAATGTGTCAACACTGCTACAGTGTAAACTACTAATGATCACTGACAGTCATTAGCTGCCAACAGACTCACACATCGCATTGGTCGTTCTGTGACAGGCACGGAGCACTTCCCCTGTACATCTATCAACACTCCCATTCTCCTTCTCTAGTGTGCCTGTCTTCACGTCTGTGAAAAAATATTGCCCCCTTTAAGCTCTCCATCTCACGTGGGCTTGGAACAAGAAGTCAGGGAAGAGTACTGTTTGTTTAGGAGAATGCTCCAGGCTCTCTGAAAGAGTTTGGACCTAATAAACCTGTAAGCCCCTAGTCATGTAATGAGTCCCCTTCTTACCAAATAGGGTTGAATAACCATTTGATAGTCTTGGCTTACCAAGTCATTCTAATGGTGCCTGTGAAAACAATGAGAGCTATGAGTGTGTGTGTGTGTAGGGGGGAGAAAAAGAAGAGGAGGACGAGGCGAGGAGAAGGAGGAAGAGGAGGAGGAGGAGAGAAATGTATAGAGTGCATCTAGGGGTGAGGAGGGCGGAGGAGTTCTGTTGGGGGAAGGAAGGGGAGGGGAAAAGAGAAGCAGAATTTTTAAGAAGTTTCTCTAGTGGCAGAGACAGATGTCTTGTAAAATGTTGCTCTTTGTACCAGGCTTTGGTATCTCACAGTGCTGTAATAGTTCAGTGTTTTCCCTCCTTGAAACATTCCCTGGTAACAAAATGTTCTAAGAAGCAGGGGACTTAATAGACTCAAGTGTTTCAGCCTTACAATGTCTTGGTCTCTTAACAAATTTTCCTGTTGAATGGCTTTAACTCTGAAGTTGTTATCACTTCCCACACATTACCTTGCAGCTATCACTTCCCACACATTACCTTGCTTCCTGGCTCTAGAAGAGCAGTAATGAAGGCTGATCTCATCAGCATGGGTGGGTGGGTGGGGGCGGGGCTCACACAGCTGCGGGACTGTGGAGATGAATGTAGGGGAAGGGGCTAGGATCATGCTGGACTTCTCGCCATTCTGCCTAGGATTTTGCACTCTGAATTCTCCCTGCCACGGAGAGGCCAGGATGACTACGAGTGAGGCAAGACTGGATGGCTCTTCTCCTTTTCTCCCACTGCCTAACTGATCTTTCTTTCAGCTTCCTAGAATGCCTGCCAAGAAGCCCAGAGTAAAGAAATCTGTTTAACTTTGTTTCCCAAACTTACCAGACCACAAGACCCTTTTATTTGTGTGATGCCTTAAATAGCACATGGTATTAGTTTTTTTTACTAAAATGCACATTGGGAGATTCTGGTGTCACTTAATACTCTTCCTCTAGAAGGGAGGTACTTGGATATAAATTAAAATTGTAGCTAAAAGGAAAGAGAACAGAATGCAGGTCAGTGTCTAGGCCAGTGGTTCTCAATTTGTGGGTCATGTTAAAGGAAGGTTGAGAACCACTGGTCTAGGCACATAGGACAATTGATATTTAAAACACAGAATCCCAGTTCAGGACATCTGATATACCAGGTGTCTTATTTTCCCTTAGGCACCAAGGATTCAGAGCGTGATTCTGGCAGTCCATGTCATTTTCATATTGTCTCTACACTCACCTCATTAATATTTAAGATGGAATGTCTGTGCGTCTTAGTCAAACAGAAATTCACTCACTCATGCAGCAGTTACTGAGTAACAACTAGGTGCCAGACACTGTGCTAAGAACTGGGGATACAAAATGTTCTATTCTCGAAAGACTCTTCCCTAAGAGGGAGGAACAGAGTTGGGTGTAGAAAATGCTGTAATTGAACTATAGGATCAATGAAGCCTGAGTGACTGATTCTGACTGAGCACGGTACAGAAGGAAGGCGGCACAGTTATTTAAGGAAGGTCGTGGAGGATGAATGAATGCCAAGGTAATTTGCTGGGTGGAAAAGAGGAAGAAGAGAGGACGCTGCAGGCAGAGGAATGATCATGTGTGGGGTGGGAAAGTCACAGGATAGAGGGAAAAAAATTAATTTAGCAGTAAACCCACTTGGCAAATTCATTGCAAAATATAAAAAATGTTTTTCCCGAAGGAGAATTACTGTCCAGAGACTCTTCTTTTTCAACAGACCTAGAAAAGAGGTTCTGTGGGCCATGGAAAGCTTGCTGCAGCCACAGAGCTGGGCCTTTCAGTCTTGCTCTTGTTTATTCTTTGGTAATGAAGCCTTATGTGGTGCGTTGTGTGCAGTGAATAATATACTCTTTCCAGGAAAGAGAGAAGATAAACAATGGGAAAATGAAAAAAAGAACATGTGGAAGCAAAGGAGAGATAACAAGCATCCAAATCTGGCCCACTGGGTTTGGCTTCCAAGATGCAATTTTGTAAATACAAACCTGGTCATGTCATTCACACCCCAAATCCTCACAACACTAAGTGCTGGAGAAGAGAAGATGCAACGTGTGTACTTCTGTACCGAAAATGCAGAACAGCAGAAAACCTTTTGGAAAGAATTTGGCCAATTATAGTAAGAGTCTAAAACTTTCATGCTGTGTGACCCACTAGTTTCTTTCCTGGCGTTGATCATAAAGATCACTGATAGAACCTAAGTTCGTGCAAATATGTATATTATACATTCCCTCTGCCTCATTTTTACCTATATGGGAATAGTTAGATAAGTGATATGGTATCTGTATGATGGAGTTTTTTGTTGCTATTAAAATATTTACGAAGTTTCAGGAACAATTAAGTATGTTGTTTGTTATAATGTTTTGCTCATTTTAATTATTTTAGAGAAAGCATGCTGTGTCCTGGCTCATTGTAGCCTCGAAGTCCTGGGCTCAAGCCTCCCAAGTAGCCAGGATTATAGGTGTATACCACCACATATGGTCCACTACTAATTTTTAATTTTTTTGTAGAGACAGTCTCACTAATTGTCCAGCCTGGTCTTGAACTCCTTGGCCGCAAGTGATTCTTTCCCCATGTCTTGACCCCACTCCAAATCACCTGACCAGTTATAATGTAAAGGCAGGATAGAACTTACATCCAGTAAAATCTTAACAGTGATGAGTTCTGGGTAATTAAATTAAAGGTAATTGCTATTTTTTTCTTTTCTGCTTTTCTGGGCATTTCCTATTTTCTATAAGTAGGCAATAATGTCATATCTTAAAAGCCATTTTCGAAAAGCTACTCACTTCTTTTCATAGTTATAAAGATGATGTTCTAACTCTCTGGCCTGATCCCCAAGGCTCACCCCCATGTGTTAAGGGGCTGCTTTTGCAGATCTACTTCCTGTCCACATGGGGTTAAGTACCTGCTCTCGACAGACACCACAACATGCCATTCCCCAGATAAGCCCCACTGTTGCACTACTTTATCCTCTTATGTATATTCCACATATGTTCTCTCCCACTTTTACTTGGTTATAGAGACTCAGGTCAATTGTCATCAATTTTGAGAAGCTTCCATGAACTTTCTTGCCTGCATTTTGATTTAGATACTCCTCCTCAAATTCTCTCAGATAAATTTGGTCAAAAAAGAACAAGGGGATTGAAGCTATTGGCCATTAGCAGAGGGTGGCTGCAGTATTTACTGTATTGCAGGGCCTAGGGTGAATAGAGAAGGATATGAAAGACTGGATGAAAAGGGAGGAGGCAAGGAAAAGACTTGATCAGTTCTAGGAACAGGTGTCCTGAAGCAGTGGGAGAGAGGGCTGGGAAGAGGTGCTGTGAGCATTGCTAGCTGATGACAAGTTCTATCTATGGTCCTAGTAGTGGACAGCTGAGGTGGATGGTGGTGATAAGGATTACAGTCTTGGAGAAAT